TCCTAAACACCCTGTAGACCCTTCCCTAAAATTAAAAAAAAAAAGGCAAGATCAATAAGCAAATGGAAATCGATGCATTTTACTTTCTTGATGGCACTAGGGCCTGAACCCAGGGTTTGTGCACACTAGGCAATGTCCCAACACTGAGCTGCATCCAAGCCCTTTGCATTGTTTGAGACAGGGTCTCAGTGAGTTGACCAGACTGGACTCAAATTTGCCATCCTCCTGCCTCAGCCTTCCAGTAGCTGGAATTATAGGCATATGTCACCACCCTTGGCTTGTATTTCTGTATACTAGTAATGAATAACTTAAAAGGGAAATTGAAGAAATAATTCTACTTATACTAGAAACTTAAAAATAAGTTTGGTAATAGCAATTATTAAACTTTTATTCTGAAGGTTGCAAAATGTCACCAACACAAATGGAAAAATATCTAAATAAATGCAAAGGCATACCATGTTCATGGATTGGAAGATCTGACACTTTAAAAATAGAAATAACCTCCAAATTAACATACAGACTCAATATATTCTCTACCAAAAATCTCACTTGACTTTTAAAAAACAGAGATGATGAAATAACTCTAAAGTTCATATGGAAATGGATAGGATATGAAACAGCCAAAACATTCTTGAAGAGGAGTGAAGTGGGAGAACGCATACATCCCAATTTTAAAACTCACTACAAAGCTACAGTATCTGAGACAACATGGTACGGATTAAGCACAGACTCACAGATGACTGGAATAAAGTTGCATGTTGAAATAAAGCCACACACTATTGGTCAACTCATTCCCCAAAGGATACCAACACAATTTAGTGGCAGAAAATAGTCTTTTCAACAAATGGGGCCTTTACATGTATCCATGTGTAAAAGGAATTAAGTTAGATAGACCATATATAAAAATAGGTAAAAAGCTACTTAGAATGGAGCTCAAATTATAAAAACTTTTAAAAGGAAACATGGTGTAAATCTTTATAACCTTAAATTAAGCAAGTTTCTTAGATACAGCACAGCATAGATGACTAAAAAAATCCACGTATTTTTCACTTCATCAAAATGGAAAATTGTTTTTCTTTTCTTTCTTTCTTTCTTTCTTTCTTTCTTTCTTTCTTTCTTTCTTTCTTTCTTTCTTTCTTTTTTTGTGGAACTGGGGATTGAACTCAGTCAGGCCTTTGCACTTGCCAGGAAAGCACTTATTCTACTGAGCCATCTCCCAGGCCCCAA